CTGTGGTGAACCACCTTCTCACCAGATGGCGATGAACTTTGCTCGCCAGGTGGCAGTACAAAACTTTCCCCTCAAGGAAATGACTTTTCTATAAGATGGCAACATCTCTGAGTTAAAACCTTAGTTTCAAGAAATGGCAACAGGTCAATTGTCTAACATTCATTCCATCTTGCTGACTGATGAACTTACACCATTTTTGAAATGCTGCTGTCGCTAATCCTATTCGTCTTTCTACTTGTAACTTAATATAATTTCTTTTATGTTTTATTATTATTAAACTGTGTTGATAGTTAATTTTTATTGAATTAATTTATTTAATATATTTAACCTAATCACCACAGATTGGTGACCCGGACGTGATACACCTCTCACATTCAGCACTCAAAAAATCCGGTGACTCTCTCCCGGTCTTTCACAAGTACAGCAACTAGTGAGATCTGTTCATCGAATTATATCTCTGATAAAATTCTGGTGGGGGAGTACTGTGGCGTAACTACCACTACAAAAGTTTAACATCATTCACTAGTATATAAAGCATGCTAACTTGATTCTATCATGGAGTACCTTTTCATAGATGACGGTTGACATGGTTTGTAACTACTCTCCCCCACAAGATTATTTGAATGATTTAGAACTTAACTTTTAGCTTCATGCACGAAGAGATGAATGCAAAAATTGTATTTAAAATATATCCGTCCGTCCGGTAAGGAAAAATATTAAATTACAGTTATGAACTCACTAAATTTGTTATAACAATCTACTTTTAATTTTAAATGCTATGTCAAATAATCATTAGTTAGAAAAATGATTTCTGCTCAATAATAGATCTTAATTGTATAAATTAGGAAGCAAAATATTTTGACATGGGAAGTGGAGACACAAGTGTTCTTTTTAGTACATATATTTTAGTCATAATTTCAACTGTTTCATGCCAAGAAATCGCAATTAATGCGAAGCAATCATCGAAGTTGGCGAGCGTCAGTGAACAGGGGGCTTAGCCCCCTAGTTAAAAAAAAAAAACTTTGTTTGAATTTTTTTATACATACTCAAAGTTTGAGTGTGTTTATACAACTTTAGGCTGTCTCTAATGCCAACGATGACGATGATCGGATGATTTTCTATCACGTTGCCTTGTGGGAGATGTAGAAAGTGCATGCCCGTCAGGAGCTTTAACACGCTTAGTTTCCAAGCACAAATACGCGATTGCTCTTGATCAATGGTTCAACTTGAACAGAACGATTCATGGTGAAGGAGAAGTGTGCAGCTTCTATTGGTACTAGTATTGTAGACGCCCGATGGAAGAAGACTGACCGTTGCCTTTATGCTTTAGTTGGGTATAGTGGAATGGCCTTCACGCCTTGGGTGACCCTACCAGGAGTATTAAACGTACTTCATCCATTCCACCCTGGATCACCAACCCCACCACGATGAGGCAGCATAATAAGACTGGGGGGAGGGGGTGCCAAAGAAATCGGTAGTGAGTTTCCTTACCCCAAACAGACATCTCTATAATTACCAACCTAAGATTGTTTTAGATGGTTATGTTCTTAAGTATGAAAATTATCCAAAATATCTGGGTTTTACACTTGACCCTGAGATTACCTGCAACAGACATATAGCCAATCTGGTGGAGAGGGCAAGACAGAGACTCAACAGTTTGAAATATATTTCTAGTAAGACTGGGGAGCAGATGCCAATACCCTAAGGACAACTTACACTTCCTTCATCAGACCAATACTGGAAAATGGATTCCAGATTTTACTACCAGCTTCTGCTAGTAATATAAGAAAGCATGAAAGGATACAGCTGAGTGCTGCACGGATTCTTAGGGGCTTACGTAATTGTAGTCCTAGTGAGATTGTCTTATACGAGGCTAACCTACAACCATTGATTATGAGATGGACTTCTAGAACCGCAAAATATTACAGCAAGCTATACAGCTATGGACACCAACATCGCACTTCTATCTATTTAATGAATTGGACAGATGTTCAGAGATTAAAAAGAGACAGTCCCTTTTGCAGGGCAGGTAAATTTAATTTGCTGTTCCCTGACAAAGAACACTGCTCAATAGAACATAATATGAACCCATTGAAAGATCTTCCGAGGGTCTTCTTTCCCGAGGAACTTTTGGCTTCCAGTAGTAAGAAAAATCAGCATTCAGCACTTCTTAGACAGTTGGTATTGGAGACAATCCACAACAACCCAACTGAAGCAGTACATATTTTAACGGATGGAAGTAAATTTGATAATGGCGACACTGGTAGTGGTGTTGTCATAAAAACCAAGATGTCATTACAAAAATTAAAAGGCGTAATCCAAACCATTGTTCAGTTTTTAGATCAGAACTAATCGCCATAAACGCGGCTCTGGAACACATGATTTCCATTGAGAGTACAGAGAATATTTAGATTTTCACGGATAGTAAGAGCTCAATACAATATCTGAGCAATTGGCGAAACATCGGTGACAGTATTGGTCTGAATATCATTAACAATTTGAAGACTTACTCTTCTCTCAATGACATACATCTACAGTGGATCCCCTCCCCCGTAAACCTTTGCTTTAATGATCTGGCCGATGAACTAGCCAAGGAGGGTGCTAATGATCCAATAGATAGTAGTGGCCTTCTAACATACAATGGAATCTATTCAGAAGTAAAGACCGACAATGCAGGATGAGGAAAAGAGCTGTCTCTCATCCCCCTCTCCTCCCTTCTTCTGCCTCCATTATTTCCAGCGCCACAACTTCCCTGCCCCACCACCATTCCTTTTTAATGGAAAAGAAACAGTCTTCGTTTGTTGTTGAACGAATTAACTTCATATGCCAGCCGGGGCTGATGTTTGTGCAAACGGGGCAGACGGCTCATATTTTCCTAAGCATTTCATATTTTTCATAAACTGTTCCTATTTCACCATATATGCAAATTCATTTTATTATTAAATATTTCAATCATTGAAAAACCTATTCATTCCTCTAAAACACCACAAAATTAAATAACAGCACTTGGAGGATTCCACCCAGTCATGATTGGTATCCTGGTGCTGCTCCTGGGCTGCTAGTCCTGGGGCTGCTCTGGAGCTAAAAGGTGATAGAAAACTGTAGACAGCTATCATAAGACTAATCAGTGGTCATACCAGCGGACTAACATTTGTTCAGGGTCAAAAGACTTTCCCTGCATGCCTAAAATGTAATGTACACCAGGCTACACCTGATCATTTGCTGTCCTGTATGGGGCTAGAGAAGAATTTTATCTTGGAGGGTCCGGCAATGGTATATGATTTTCTCTCGGTGAACGGTCTTCTGGGTTTGGTCTAGCCTTCTGGGCCAAGTAGAATAAGTAACAACAACTTGAATAGAAACAGTCTTCAATTCAGCTCATTTTTTTGAGTTACAATATTTTCCCCCGATTTCATATTTCAATGCATTATTATTCTAGTTCAACGCTGAACCGTTTTTTTTTCTGAAATTGTAGACATAAGGGAAAAGTAATTTACGTTCATGTGTCCACTCTCAGACCTCAAATCTTTTTTACCGTCCGAATCTTGTGTTTGTTCTCAACGATTGCAGCAAAGAATGCCTCATCTCAAGCAGATCACTGAAACGGTCTAACTCTTCACTCAAATGGATAGGTTTTGAAAATATTTGCAATTTAAAATAATATTTTACAAGTGAAATTAGATTTACGTACAATAAAACTTCATTTCCTTGAAAAATTTCATTATGTTTCCCACTATCCAATGTATTATGTTCGTTTAACTTTTCATATGAAAATACAGCAGGAAGCCTTGTTACAAAAAGAACACTACTGATCCAAAAGTATTAAACTAAATACTATTAAAATTGTTATTATTACTTATCCAAAAGCACCCTGGGAGTTCCAACCATGGGGAAGATTACTGTCAAAATTGAAACATTGAATTACGAACTGTTCCAGCTGGCCGATAAACGAATAAAGCTTTCTTATTGTTTTAACGCTTGCCATTGATAAAAATTGAATTGCAGACGATTCCTTCATTTTATCAAATATTTTATGGATAAAATTTGTCAAAATAACTCGATCAACGAGAACGTGATAGCATTGGCGGACTACGTCACTAAATTAGTATTCCTGAATTTATCTGAAACCATGTGTTTATTTTGTTTGTAGTTACGCTTTTAAAACGTGCATTTGTTAAACTAAGCAATTTAAAATGCAAGGTAAATGAAATTAAAAAAATTAGTTATCGACTGATAAGCCAAATTAATACTGAAATAGAACTGAATCATTTAGGAGAAACGTAAAAAAATCACCATCTCAACGCCAATCTTATTGCCGGAAATGATGATTAATTAATTTTGGTAATAGGAGCTAATTGAAATTAAAAACTACTTACTAAGAAGCAAAATTTTTGGAGGAAAAGTAATTTTAGCAAATGCGTGAAAAATCGTCATACTATTATTAACACCAATGATGCTTCATTAATTTTGGTAATAATAAGTATCAGTTAACATTAAAAAAAATGAACTATGTTCTTAAAAGCAAAATTATAGAAGGAATAGTACAAATTCTTTTCGAGAGTCATTAAAAATTGAATAGCTATTATTGACGTTCATGATGCTTACTTAATTTTGGTAATAAGTATTATTTGAAATAAAAAAATAAAAGTTGATCCCCGTGTATATCATATTTTACGAAATGCTTCAAAATTAATGCCCTATGTTATTAATAACAAAAGTTTTTTAATGGTGAAAATGTTTAATTCTTGAAAAAATAGTCACGTGTTTCAAAAATGTCTACTGTTAAAAATACTGCAGCTGTTAATTGCCTGCTAGCAAAATTTTCGAATTTCGCTCTATACTGCAAAAGCGATTTGTTTTCATTTGACCTTCTCTCATATTACTTTCTTTGCTTGTTATTAACTTTCCTCTTATTTTCTAGCCTGAAAGAATACATTCACTCATAACAGAAGACACATCTCTCAACAGTCATTCGAAAAACAGAGAGCAGCTTAAAAAATCGGTGGAAAAGTTTGATGAAATACTAGAATTCATCTCATTCAATAAAGGTTTAAATGAGGCGAAGAGGACGGCCGTTTCCTGTATGGTCGTCAGACACTATTACTATACGATTAAGAAACGGCAAAACAAGCCTAGAATTTGGGACGGAAGTGATTTACCTCTCAAGCCTAATAAGGATAAGGGTGGATTCGAATGGAACCTTAATTTGAAATCCATAGCGGAGAACATGCCTTGCGAACCATGGAAGAAGAGTGGGGTGTTTAAAGGTCCGGTCCTGATGATATATGGGACAAATTCTTCAAATAATGTGTGAGTTTTTTTTTAATCAATGAGATCTAAATTATCTAACTAAATTCTGCATAACTTACCACTACTGTTGCAATTCTCGTTATTGGGTGTCAGTAATTGTGCAGGCGTGGTTTTAAAGGTTTTATTAAATGCAAAGGTGACCATTCTAACAGGGTTTGAGTTGTTGCATCAGAAAAATATACCCAATCCATCTGATGAGAGAAACTTTGATGGTATATTAGATTATTTGTATTCTCCATAGAATTCACGGTTAGATTAAATTATCCATCTATCCTTTTCTCTAATTGGGCGAAATATTTCTTTGCAGAATTTCTCTCTCGAAGTTATCAAATTAAAAAAAAAAAATATGTAAATCTATCCTAAGTGCTATTTAGAAATATTTTTGAAATATTATGTATCTTAAAACTAACAATAATTTTAGTGCAACGATTTATTTTTTTAAAACAACAATGATTTATTTTACATGCGATAAAAACATTCATTGTGCTATTATATGTTTTAGGTTAGATGAAAGAGTCGAATTTTTGAAGCTATTTCCAAGAGCTCTTTATAAAGCTATAAAAGAAGGAGTTGACTATCCCTTGCACATAGAATATCCAGACATGTTTGCCGAATTAGTTTGTGATTTTATTTTAAAACAACGAAGATGAGAATCTTTTAACTGCTAACTTTTAAACAATAAAACGTTATGAAAATATATTTGGTATTTTATCGAGTTTTAATCTATATCAATAAAAATATCTATAAGATTTTTTTAACTGCAGCATGAAATGTACAGTACGCAAATAAGTAAACGAAGCAAACTTAATGTCTTTTGATCTAATAATCGGATCTTCACATTCTAGGTTAATGGTTGGAGGGGGTGATCTCAAATATGCTAATCAATAAGTGGAGACGATAATTTAAGTTATGAAATCAGACACAAAAACGTACATTTTCTGAAGAAAAATACCATTTTTTCGATGGATTTAGATTTCTGACCCCCAATATATAGGGGGTAGTCGCAATCTCGGAAATAGGGTCAAAATTTTTTAGTCAGGAGAGGGGTCCAAAGTTTGGACCATATAATGTAAATTTGATTTTCTGAGTATTCAACTACATCACGAGAAATTTTTAAGCGAATTGAAAACTTTTTGCTCGTAATTATAGAACTCGTTTGTCCAAATATAATTCGACTAGAAAAGTAAATTTTAGTAAATATTTATCATTTTTTTGTTATTTTATTAAACAATAGTCGAAAAAGTTTTGAATTGAAGACAATTTTTTAAATCATCTTAAATAACGTAATTTTAGATGGCAAAATACAAAATTCGACCGAAATCGGTTGAATAGTTCCTGAGAAAAAGAGTCTTACACATTCGACAATTTAAAAATTCAATTTCTCAGGAACTATTGGACCTATTTTGCTCAATTTTTGCATTTTGCCTGTGAAATTAAAAACTTTAGTATGATGCAAAAACTTTTATACCTTACAATTTAACATTTTTTCGATGAATGCTGACTAAAATTAAAAAATATATAGATATATATATATTTGCAAAAATCTGATTATCTTTTGAGGAATGAATTTTATTGCGACTATCCCCGATATTTTGGGGATCAGATATCTGAAACCGTTGACGAAAAGTTATGTTTTTTCAGTGAAAATATCCTTCTTGTGTCCGATTTCATAACTTAAAATATCGTCTGCACTTGGCATTTTGAAGTCAACCCCTCGAACCATTAAGATTGAACGTGAAGATCTATAGATCATAATCCATACTAGATCATAATCTAAAATGAATATACTATACTGACCTACCTAGATCATTAAATCATAAGATATTCAAGGTGGTAAGTTTTTTTTTGCGCTTTGTACAAGGAAAAATTGATAAGTAAAATGAAGTTTACACTGGCATATTTTAGAAGGTACCGGTTTGCAATTTTTCGGCTACGAAACTTTAAATAATCAACCTTTTTTCATCGGAATCCCGATTTCATAAATAACATTTATTAGTCGCTTAGGGGATAGAGCGCTCGCCTCCCAATAACATGAAAGGGGTTCGAATCCCAGTGATGGCTGGTCGATTCGAATTGCGCAAGCAGCTCGCACTTACGACAGTGCTAACGAAAAATATCCTTAGTGGTAGACGGGTCAGGAGTCCTCTTGCCGTCAGACTAACCATGTTAGAATTTCGTGGTTTTTCGTGGTCAGGCAAATTATGGGAGGGTAAGCGGGTTAGTTGCATCCAAAAATTCCTCCACGAAGACAAATTTCTCCCAGTACTTGATCCTTGTCTTCTTCATTGGGTTCCAAATTACAAGGATACAGAGTTGAACATCGGTAGTCGTAAACCCTAATTTGGATCTGCTGTTCAAACACGATTTTAAAATAAAGTAAAAAATAACGTTTATTAAGGTAATTGCTACCGTTGTAACCTATGGAAGACTATTTTTAAATTATTTCATTAGATGTATGAAGATTTTTAATTGCTTTATTGCTAATAATGTTATGTCTACGTACGTATGTCTTCCTTGCAATTCCTTTTGCTACATCTAGTTTAGTTATGAATATTGTTTTGGTACATAAGCTGAAAATGATTAAAATAAGACAAATTTTTGTAAAATAACTGCTATAAACATTGAAAACTGTTGTTAGGGAAGCATATTTTTTTTATTAAACAATTTAGTTATTTCATTTTGATTTGTAAAACGTAATGGGAAATACTAATGCAATATTTTATAATTGCTTGCTCGTTTCATAATCCATTTTATGTATTTAGAAATATTATATTTTCTTTCAAAAAAACGTCATTTCATTAGCATTTTAACTCAAATATTTTCGTAAAGTCAACCGAAAGATTATATAATTTATGAATTATACGTTGGTTATAAATATAATCTGAGGTTTCAAAAATTCCTTACTGTTTATTGAATGTACTAACTTACGGAACCCTTTTAAATCTTCCACAGTACCGTAGGATTTCGTGGAACATTATTTGGGATTTAAAGGGTCATTTTTCTCTACAATTAACGCATTTATGTGATCACCTAATTCTCCTCTCACGGCCCATACTATAATTGATAAAACAAGAACTTCTGACTCAGTTAAAGGATCACACAGACGTGATCTCAATACGGTATTCTAATATTAAATATTGCATTAGTACTTTTTAATACGCATCCACTCGGATATCACAAGCACATTGAGATGCGCCTCTTACCTCATCTCTCCACGAGTTGAAAAGAAAGCAAATTTTTTTAAAAAAAGCCATAATTGAAACTTCTATTATTGATATTAAGGGTTATCATACGCTTTAAAAAGATTCTATAAATGGCATTATAAAAAATTTCTTATCAGCTTAGTTCAAATTTTTTACTGTAGAGTGGATGTCACATTTCTTTGTAGCATTTCAGTATAATTCTTGACCGTGTGAGATATATATGAATTTAGTTATAAAGGAGGGATTCTAGAAAAATAAATAAATTTATTTGAGAAAGATTGTTTTTTTTTATTTAGAGAATATGGCCATAATTAGAAATAATGAAATAAAGAAAGGAAGTCTCTGAAATGGATCGAGAGAATCATTCTCTTAAAATCAAGAATTCCGTAAAGATAAAAATACAATGGTTGGGTCTGAGTGGCCGAAGCCCCCCAGTCCCATCACCTAGAATTCGAAATTAAAAGTTAAGTAAATTGTTCCCAAAGGACAGTTAGGAGCATGGGAAGAGATCCATGGTTGGTGATTTATTGAAAGATAACATAGCCAAAAGGAAAACCAGCCCCCTTAACCAATATTAAATTTGAAAATAATTTGGCGAAAGCGAATTGTCAAAAAGATTGTGAGAGTTAATATAACCCTCTAACTGAAACATATTTGTGGTAAGAGAAATAAAGAATCATAGGTTATAAATAGATTTCGTTTCCTACTTTGTCGCGACAGTGAGTTAATGAGTTTTACAATTGCATTGAAATAAAAAGTCAGCCGTTACATTGATTGTTAAGAAAAGAATAAAATATTTTTATTAACTTTCTATATTAATGTAATAAAAATTAAATAATTGGTTTAATTTAATTAAAATTTGATTAAGACTCACAAAAAAATTAATTCAAGACATTAAAGAAACTTTAAAAGCTAGGAAATATGTAGTGCTTATTATGGCATTACAAATCGTCAAATCGTTATAATAAATATAACATATCACGAAACCACGTTTTCCAAAACAGCTGCGTCACGATATTTAACAAACCAACGGATTAATTGTTGTGAAATTTCATTTCATTTACAGTTTTTCATGCAAGTTTCTCAAACTATACATACTTTCATTCAAATCTGTTTTCTTTCCCAAACATACAAAAAATTTAATTTTTTTGTAGTTAAATAGTTTAAATTCATTTAAAATGACTTTAATTTTTTTTGAAAATGTTTTTAGTTTATATATTCAGCATATATTTTTCGACCTTTGTACACGTTACACCTCTAGGACAATTACCTAGTTATACCATTTTTTGAATGTTTGACTTATGTTCTTTTCTTAGAAGGAGATGAGATAACCAACAACCCCCTCGAATATTCATTAAAACTGCAAAATTAATCCATACCATCAAATATTTAATATTTTTTATAAAATTTTCCTATCATAAATAAAACTAAAACTCACTAAAATCTTTCTAGTATTATAAGCAATATTTACAATATTCAATTAAATATTTATCTCTGAGTGTTGGTCTGCTGTATTTTCAGCAGCTGTATAATCCTCGGGAAATAATCGGTGTCTCTTATATGTTATTCGATGAAATTTTCAGCATAATTTGGCATTTACATGCTTAACATGTGTAGCGTTAAAATAATTGTTATGCAACAAAGGCAGAATCTTATCTGTCATCAAAAGCAGATTGAGTACTATCTTTAAATCTATGACAGTTAAAAACAATTATTTTGATATCAATTGTGCACATATTACACAGTAGGTAGGAAAAAAGTTGCGTATAGCTCTTTCTGTCTTTGATGTAACACTGGTTTTTTGTAATAAATCAGCAATAGTTTTGTGTTACAGGCGAATAGCTCATTCCATGCAAGAAAAACTCACAAATTTGCAATTAGATTGCACGGGTATGCATTCATTGTTTCATCGCCGATAAAGTCTTATCAATTTTATCCTTTTTCTTGCTTTTCATGATTGAATCGAACTGATAGAGACAAAAGTTTCATGGATAAATTTCTGCCAAGAATATCAATCATTAGATGACACTGATTTTTAGAGAGATAAAATTTAAGAGGAAAAGTAAAAGTAATTTTATTCTCAATCATTTCCATAGGCGTGTTTTAAAGAATAAAATTAATATTTTTTCAAAACTTTTCATTCGATTTCGTCATAAAATGGTGTTAAATTTTTTGCACTCCTCATAAATAAGCCATAACAGAGCAACTTAATATTATTAAGAAATATATTTTAATTAATCAGTTTTTACTTAAAAAGTTATCAAATATTTACAATTTTTCAATATTGCTTCATTTAAGTGACATTTCTTATAAGATATAGGCGACGTCTGTTCCCAATTATATGAAGTCAGTTGATAAACCATCCAATGAATTATGGCACATCAACAATATCTGCATCAAACTTCAGATGGCATCATCTCTGGAAAAAACGGAATTAAATTTTGTAGAAAGGTGTAAGGAGAAATGCACTCAATAATGAAAACGATTATCCCGTTC